CACACACACACACACACACACGACTAGCAGCAAGGGAGTCTGGTCTCCGAGAAACGAGAAACGAAGAAGGCAAAAGCTCAGCAGAAGCTGAAAGAGGCTCTTCGTTACAAATGTTAGAAATGGTACTTCATTGCGTAGTATACACTATGCTTGTGCACGCATGCTTGCGTGGATTACTTCAAGCTTTTGCTTTGGTCGTCCTCCGCTTCCGGGGCCGCGGAGCCGCGGAGGCGGAGAGGGCCGTCTCCACCGCGGCGTCGGCGTCCTCTCGAGCAAAATCAAACTCTCAAAAACTCTCTCTTCTCTTCCCACTCTTCTCCTGCGCATCCTCGGCAGGGCCTGAGGCGTGCAGACAGATCTCCAGACAGAAAGACAGAAAGTACCGTCTCTCCGGGCTGCCGGGCGCTTCTTCTCACTTTGGTCGCCAGTCTCCCCCATGGCTGGGGCGGGCCGCGCCCCCGCTCAAGCATGCTGGAGCCCAAGCGCCACTTCAGAAGCCGCTTCCACTTCAATTGCAACTAAGTTGGCTGCTCTTCGCTACGCTAGCTACGGCGCCAGGTGTTTCTGCAGCACCAGAAAAGGTCGGGTACGACGACAAGGCACTGTACATCAACGCGGGATTTCAGCAAAGCCGGCAAGTGCGCTGAAAGCACTAAAGTCTAAAGGCTCTTCAAGCGCTTAAAGCGCTGAAGGCAGCCGGAAAGGGAAAGCTCACGAAGGCCCGGAGGCGAACGCCAGAGAGGCAGAGCGGCGCCACAGAGCGGCGTGCTCGGCGTGCTCCGCACGTTGCTCAGTCCGACTCCTCCGCCAAGGCCTGTTCGAGCTCTTTCCGGGCCTCGCAACACTCAGAACTCACGAGACATCTCACGAACACCTTTTCAAAGACCTTCTGGCAGGAAAAGGCCTGTCTGAGGTCCTCTAAGCTTTTCGTGGCCAGAGCTCCTGAGATCTGAAACGTCTGAAACTTTGCGAACAGCTGTCACCGAATCACCGGGCGTCCCCACGCTTCTCGGCCCAGGCCTCTATTGCAAAGCATCGAAGCATTCCCTCACGAAGCACTCTGCCTGCTTGAAGTCTTGTAGGCTCCTTTTCTTGCTTTCGCCTGTACCTGCACTTGTCCCATATTTCAGAATGAACCAAAAGCCCGGCAAAGCCCAAAAGTATCTAAGAAGCCAGCCGCCATCATCGACCATTGCCTGAAGGGCTACACAGAGCCAGAACTCTGAAAGCAGATCTTTGCAGCTCAGATAGCTCCTTCAACGTCTCCAAGCTTTGGCTGCCTGGGGGAGAAAGGCTGCACTGCAGATTGATGCTGCAGGCTGCTGGTACGCTGCTACTCTAAGCATCCCCGAGACTTGGACCGCGCTCAGCCCAAACCTGCATGGAATGCCATTCGCGAATTCGCGAAAAAGATGCGGTTTTCCCATTTGGCCTGCGACTCCTCTGCGAGAAAGACTCCCAAACCAAGCAGCTTGCCGGCGAAGTTGCCCGCAACCTGCAGAGGGCTTCGGAGGGCTAAGGCCAAGGCACGAAGGATTCTGCATGAGGGCCTGGGCCACGTCGGAGACGACGGAGCCCAGCTGCTGCGCCGCCGCCACGGAGAAGGCGACCACACCCTCAAAAAAAAAGGGAACGGAAGGAAAGTCTGAAAAAAGATGCCTCCAAGAAGAGCCATCCCCTAAGCATCCCATCGCACCTCGGTGGCACTGAGGGCGTTGCGCGTGATCCGGGCCTCAGAGTTGGGCAAAAGGGCCAAGAAGGGCCAATTTGCTTCAGCCTTGGCTCAACCTCTTGGCTCAGCCCACGGCCGAATCGTAGGAGACTCGCTCCTCGGGGTCCGTGAGGATCCGATAGGCGCGGCGAATCATCAGCCAGTCCTCAGAAACCCAGCTTAGCTCGATCCCCTGACCTGCCAAAGCTCGGCATATCTTCGCTTCACTGAGCCGCGCGCCAGGCTCTCCTGCCTCAGATCGCTCTACCAAAGCTACTCCCTCCCATATCCTATTCGCAGGGGCGGACCCACCATTCAGGTCCGGGTGGTGCTCACGGGCAAGCCGCGCATATGCCTGCACACATGCACAAGGAAGGTCAAAGTGCCAAAGTGTCAAGGTAAGCTGCTTCTCGGCGAAGCAGAAGTCCCTGCAGCCCTGGCCTGGCGAATGCTGCGGCGCCTGGACAGACAAATTGCAGGGCTCTGCGTCACGTTGCGTCACGTGCCGCTTGCATCCGCTTGCCGCGGGCCGGGCGCCCGGGCCCGGAGAGGAAGGAGACGTTCAGCACTTGATATGGGTCCTCAGAATTGCAAAAAACGGGGCGGACTTTGCCTTGGGCCTTGGCCTTCGTCTCCATTGGGGCTCCCACGAGCCGCGCGGCATCATCCTTTGCACTTACATGTCTTTACGACTGCTGTCTGCTCTTTTCCTCTGCTCTCTGCTCTCTGCTTTCAAGAAGCTAAGAAGTCCAGAGGCGTGCGGATCCTCACTTGCCTCTCACAGCTCAGCATGGTCCATGGTCAGCTCACGCAAATGGTAACCATGCATGGCATGCAACCTCAGGGTCACCAGCGGGAAGGCCGACCTTCCCGAGTTTTAAAAAAGTCTGGGACAGGACATGATGTGATTGACTTGAAGCTGCTGCGCGGCTGCGCGGCTGCGCGGCTGCGCGGCTGTGCCTGGAGCTCTCCAGCGGCCTTCTTGCTCTTTGGCTTCGCTGTCGGCTTTCGCCTTCACGACCTCGAAATCCGCGGCTTGAAGCTCGCTTCGAGCTGGCTTGGAGCTGTTGAGACAGGGGCTTCGTCGGCGCAAGATGCTCCAAAAGGATGAGCCCTGACGTGAAACCCGAATCACACAAGCGCAGGCACATGCACGCACAATGTGCACATGCACACGCATGGACTTTTTGCGCGCCTTTGACTTCGAAGCTCGCAGTTCAAGCATCGAAGCCATCGGCCTGAAAAGGCGCATGGAGGCTTTCGGTCGACTGGCGGATGGCCATTGCAAGCCATTGCCGCGTGTTGCCACGCCTCACACAGTAAACCTGGCAAGGACAGCTCAGGCAAATCCACTGGACACCTCGGCATGCCGGCCCATTCAGGTGCCTTCATGTCGCGTACCTGCATCCTCAGAACTCAGAACAAGACCCCTCCCTCGCCACCATGCGAAAAGAAACCGTCCGAACCTCCGTGGCATTCGCCATGCTGGCAGCACGCCATGGCCATGCATGCTCTGCGCTTCCTACATCCCTACAGGATTCATCAGCCTGGATCTGGGCGACGAAAGCAAGGAGCTCCCTTGATAAACGGCATCTGCAGGCCGAGCGGCCGGACATGCTGGACATGGCCCATTTTCAGCGTTTCAGCGCATCCTCATCTGCCACTGAATCAGCCGTCGAGACTCTGACCTTCCGCGCTACCCTGAACGCCCTCAGCGTCGCCATCACCCTCGCCAACGTCACCGCCCTCACCGCCAGTAACCTCAGCGCCCTCGGCAACCTCCTCGGCTTCCTTCTCCTCTTCGGCGTTTTCCTCTCCCGCCTCTTCGGCCTCTTCAGCCTCTTCCTTTCCCGTGCCAGCATCGACTTCATCGACCGCCTCGCTTTGGTCGCAGTCGACGGCATCGAGCTTGCTCTCTGGAACATCTTCGACCTGTTCGACGTGTTCGACGTGTTCGACGTGTTCGAGGTCGATCTCAGGAACTTCCGTGACTTCGGGCACTGCGGCGACCTCCGCAACCTCCGCGCGCTCTGCGCGCTGGGGCGGCTCATCGGGGCCTCCGCTTGGCTCCTGGCCGGCGAGAAAGCAAGCAGGCCAAAGAGGAGGGTTGTTTTGAGGCCCTGGCTGTTGAAGGCTGAGGCTCTTGAGGCTCTTGGACCTCGCTCTTCTCAGAATGTCTTCTCGTTTGAGGAACTTTTTGGAAGCTTTGAAGGGCTCAGGTATGTTTAGGTGCTCTTTGCGTGCTGTGTTTGGGCCGCCTGGACAAGGAAGGGTGTGCCCTGGTTGCCGGCGATGGTGGCCCAGCCGCGGGCTCCGTCCTGCTCTCAATGTCTCTCTTTTCATGTCTCCTCTACCGTCGCTTAGGTCTTTCCCCCCCTCTGCCACACTTACACTTACACTGTCTCATCAGAACATTCTCCGGTCTTGGACGGCAAGACAGCGGACGCGCTGCACATTCGCACCCTCGTCCTTCGAGGGCCCTGCCGGGAGCACAGATCATGAGGCCGTGTCTCTAAACACAGCGGCCTTCCAAGACTTCCAGCACTTCATCCACTTCCAATCCTCAGGACTGCTACATTTGCTCAACCCATCTAGCCCTGTGCAAGCTTCGCACGGCGAACAGTCTTCGACTTTATGCAGATCTCTTCCGAGAGCACGGTGCCCTTGCAGCCGAAGGCTTGCCCATGCTAACGGGATCTGTTTAACTGACCTTGACGCATCTGAAGTAGAAGCGGATGAATTCCAGGAACGATGCCTTGCCAAAAAAAAAAATGCTCGTAACCTGACGGAGGCTTTGAGGTCCCAACCCTGTCCAGCTGGCCACCTGGCAGAGCCCAGAGCACATCAACAGATTCATAGCTGCTGCTTTGAGCCACCAACCAAAATCTGCTGACACACTGCGAGGAACAAGGCATGCTCCCAATCCCTTGTCATCCGCCCGTCCTCTCCCGCCCCCGTCCCCCGTCCTTGCCACCCGATGCTGGCCCGGAGCAGGACAGAAGCCGAAAGCCGTACAAACCAGAAGAGGTTGCGATGACGGCGCTTTTGCAGTTGCTGCAGTTCCTCTGTCGGCAGCAGAGGGATTACAGCACACCTATGCAATGCGGCTCACCTTTTTTGCTCACATCGCGCTTGAGCCACATGTTCGGTCACAAGCGTGAGAGTCCTGGTCAAAAGTGCATTCCAACATGCTCAGGAAAAGCAGTACAGTCCCCCCAAATTAAGGTTGACCAGAACTCCATGCCGGCTCGTTCGTACTTTTTCAGGAGTCGAGCAACACTAGCTGCATTGCTACGGGATTTGTTCCGGCTATCCGTGGCCCTTCTTGCCAGCTCCGCCTGAACATCAACCAGGCTCAGACGTCCCGACTTCAGGAAGTGGTCAGTGGCGCCGCTGGCCTTCAGCGGGTCCGCCTTGGTGAGAGCGTCCACAATCATCTTCTGGTGCGGCACCCATCTCACCATTGAACGGGTCTCCTGCAGGTCCCTGACGATGATCGCCAGCTCAAGGGAGCTCCTCCAATCCTGTCTCCCGGCAGGATGTTCT